AAGTCATTGATGTTCCAGTCCCCAGAACAATTTATCCTAACTTTAACAAATCATCTCCTATGATCAACATTTCTCAACCAGCCACCACGATAGATATACCATTCGATAGCGAATTTCGCGAACTTCAAGATGAGCTATTAATAAGTCTTTCAACAACACCTATCTTAGTGCTTTGAAAACTCCGTTGGTCGTTTTTCTGCCATAATGAAAAATTATGTATTGTTCAAAAACATACCATTGGGTAGCCCTTGAAATTCTCTACAAAGTGAGCTGGTCACATTATTCAGAAAGGTGGAGTCAGTCATTAAAGATATGGAAAGAAGTTCGGGTGTTATCTACGCAGTACAGTGTGTCGTAATCCTAAGAACTCCCTTGTTTTTGACTTTTTAGTTAAAGCTGGAACCAATCTGAATAATGTTTTGAATAGCCCGAAGATTTTTCTATCAGCTGAGGTGCATATCGCCCTTTCATGAGAAAAGTTCATAATAAAGCTTCTGGAAAACCTAACCGCTGAAAACCAAGTCCTTAGTTTTTAGTGAGAAAATTAAAAACTGACTAAAAATTCAGTATCTATCGAACTAAATCGAGGTATTTCACTACTCGTTTAGGGCCTTTCTAAAAAAATAGTTCCAACCCGAAATCGATTTATAACTTCCGATGGTTCCCTCGTGAGCCTCGTGACAATATTTGTTCTGTGATAGTTTGAATAAATATCACGTGTCGCTATTGTGTATTGTCCCACCATATCGGTCCCTATTACGAGCAATCTTTTATATATTATAAAAATTCAACAGATGTCTTTTATTCTTATTTGAATGTAACTTCATAGGAATTAGATGAAAATCAATCACTGCGCTTTATGATTTTTAATGTATAAACAATTGAAATATTCTTGGTATAAACGTCAATTCATACATGTGCTCTTTCATATGTATAAAGACAATCAACTCAAGTCTTCAAACTTACAACAAAAGCTATCCAGATTATGTTATATACAATCAAAACGACCAGTCTAAAGCAAAATAAAATTATCATCGAGAATGGTGGTGTACCGAATCTTACTATTGGCAGTTGCATTTGCGCTGTCACAAAACATCGCTTGTGAGAATGGTGATTGCCGTCATAATAAGAAAAATCCAGATACTCTTCAAGCCGTATGGCGGCACGGTACTAGCAAAGACAAACAGCTGGATTGTTTTACTCGTAATGATTCTAATTCATTTATTACAACAAATTGGGGCTTGAAAATTAACGATAGTGATTCGTTAAAAGCTGGACAGCGTGGACCTACCTTACTGGAAGACTTTGAGTTTCGCGAAAAAATAACTCACTTCGATCATGAGAGAATACCGGAACGTGTTGTTCATGCTCGTGGTTCGGCAGCTCATGGTTATTTTCAGTCATATAGCGACTGGTCGAATTTGACTCGTGCTAAGTTTTTGCGTGATCCATCAATCAAAACACCTGTATTCGTTCGATTTTCGACTGTAGCTGGTCCTCGTGGTAGCGCTGATACTGTAAGGGATGTTCGCGGATTTGCTACAAAATTTTATACTAAGGAAGGCAATTTTGATCTTGTAGGCAATAACATACCCGTTTTTTTTCATCCAAGATGCCATCAAATTCCCAGATTTAATTCATGCTGTTAAAGCTGAACCGGATCGATCGTTTCCAACTGCTGCCTCAGCTCATGATACGTTTTATGATTTTATTTCCTTATCACCCGAGACTATTCATATGGTTCTCTGGGTTTTATCCGATCGTGGTATTCCACGGAGTTATCGCATGATGCAGGGCTTCGGCGTTCATACATTTCGTTTGATAACTGAAGAGAATCGTGCCGTTTTTGTAAAGTTCCATTGGAATCCGAAATACGGACTGGCAAGTCTTGCATGGGACGAAGCACAAAAAATTGCTGGGAAGGATCCTGATTTCCATCGTCGCGATCTGTGGGAAGCTATTGAAAAAGGTGACTACCCAGAATGGGAGCTTGGAGTGCAAATTGTAAAAGAAGACGAAGAATTTGAGTTTGATTTTGATCTGCTTGATCCAACAAAATTCATTCCTGAAGAACTCATTCCCGTAATTCCACTAGGAAGAATGGTCTTGAACAGAAACCCAGATAATTTTTTTGCTGAGACAGAACAGTCTACTTACCATCTGGGTCATGTTGTTCCTGGTATTGGCTTTACAAATGATCCGCTGTTACAAGGGAGATTATTCAGCTACCTCGATACACAAATCAATCGCCATCACAGTGCTAACTTTCAGAATATTCCTATAAATCGGCCAGCTGTTTCAATCCATAACAATTACCGTGATGGATTCATGCAGACAGTTATTAATAAGGGTAGAGTCGCTTATTATCCTAACTCGCTACAAGAGGGTAGTCCACATCTAACACCACCTAATCATGGTGGATACAAGACGTATGCTGAATTAACCGGTGGTCCGGTTTTTCGTGGAAAGTCACCATCGTTTTTCAATTTTTATTCCCAAGCTCAATTATTCTACAACAGTTTGACCGATATCGAGAAACAACATTTGATTAACGCATTACGATTCGAACTTGGGCTAGTAGAAACGGTATCAATACGAAAGAGAATGATCGTACATTTTAATCATATTGATCACGAGTTTGCTAGCCGAATTGCTCAAGTCATTGATGTTCCAGTCCCCAGAACAATTTATCCTAACTTTAACAAATCATCTCCTTCTGTCAGTATAGAACAGCACCCCCGAAAGACAATCAGAACACGCCATGTTTTAATATATATTGCGGAGGGTGTTGAACTTTCCATTTTGAATGTTCTTGTCCGACTGTTGAACTCCAAGGGAGCGTACTTAATATTTGTTGCACCAAAACAAGGACGAGTAAGAGGAACGAATTACATCGCCACTCAGACATTCGCTACCACAGATGCCGTGTTAAATGATGCAATTCTTGTACCCGGAGGACAACGAGCTGTTGAGCTGTTGCTGAAGAATTATCCTCAATATTTAAATGGACAACCTATCAAGTTTTTACGTGAAGCTTACCAACATGGTAAACCTATTGCTGTCATCGGGGAAGGGCTTGAATTGCTCAGAAGTGCTGAGATCACCCTGGGTAATGGCGTAACTTTCTTGCACAGCAATGGAGATTCTGAAGCTTTCGCGCACGATTTTGCTAAAAATATTCTTCATGGTCGATTTTGGTATCGAGAAGTCCTAGACAAGAAGCTACAGCAAAACTACGATTAGAAATTTCTTTAGGAGAAAATGCACAACTTGATATTAAGACATCCATCTTTATACACACACCCATGCGCACATAAGGAAAGCTGCTTTTACGTTCTCAAAGCTAAAAGTCTTTTACATTTACATTTTACAGTCACATGTCGAGGTACTTTGTTACCAACACAAGTAGTTTATTGTATGACTTTTCAATGAATAATGTTACATGAATTGTGGGAAAATAAACGCTGTTTCTTATCGCACTAAAGGTTCACATCAAGATCATATCGTTAGAGTATTCAGAGCTGCGGTGTGCATTGCATACCCACGACTTTTGATCTAGTTGATTAACCTGCAGCATCATCATTGATAGAAGACTTTTACAAGAATGAAGATTAAAGTATCTCTGGTTGATCACAAACAAATACAATCAAGCTAAACATAACCAGACCTGCAGTATTGCCAATGATTCCACAGGCTTTTTCAAGTGTGCTCACGCGCCTCAAACAGCCATTGTAGTTGTTAGAATAAAAGTAATAGCGAAAACAAGGTTAAACAAAAGAATTTATGTATATTAATACAAACGTTTTACAACGAGCAACTCCTTATTACTGCTGAAACGTTAGATTTTCCTCTTTGTAACAGCCTCCCACCTTCACCATACGCAGAACGGCCTTCATTAGTTTAACCAAGAAAGATCAAGCAAGGGTCTCGCAGCTTTATAGAAAAGAGTCGATAACTAGCATATACAACTATAAAGAAATCAGCCTTCCATCCCATCTGGTTTCGAAGACAGGACTGCTGAATATTAAAATTGGTATTTTGCGATCCCTTTTGGCTATAAAAGCAGAAAAAATTTCTGAATTCAGGATTTTAGTCTTATTATCTCACACAGAATTAAATTATGCGTCTTTTGATATATAAACAAAGTTTTTCAATTGAAACCATTAATTAAAAAAATTAATTTTTAATTTAAGAAAATCGAAAGCCATTTATTCTGACCCACCCGTTAGAACAAAGTCCGTTTGAAGCTCAATATCATGCCTTTCTCATGAAAAGTACAGTTTTCTACCAAATCTGACTTTTCTAATACGTTTTATTTACTATTAAGGAGTTAATGAGAAATTCTCGACAGTAGATAGACCAATACAGTTTTGCGCAGACGACATTTTCATCTATTTAGTTTTCAAGAAGGGTTTTCTCCTCAAGTTGCAGTGAAAAATTGAAGAAAAAACGTCGAATTTGAATAAAAATTGAATAATGGGATTAAAAACAGCTGCAGTTATTAGCTCTATAGTAGCTACTATTGTTATAATCAATGCATAAAGAATTTACGTTCAACTGTCTTGAGACAAATGACTGAAGTAGCTAAAAGTTTAGCACTAATTCATTTTACAAGAGGATTATAGTAAAGTCTATCTAATGTATGATTTTAATTTTACCTTATAACCATTACATCCTGACTAGGCCATTGTACCACTAGAAATATACGAATTATTTGAGACAAAATCCTATGAATAGAAAACTATTTGAAAATAAAGATTGTTTTTGTGTATGTTTGTCATGGTTATTGAATGTTTCCTATGAAACATATCAAAAGATAGTAAATGAAATGAAATTTATTAGAACAGAAAGCATTACTTAGAAATTATTTCATGTACACGAACGAAAACTAATACGGATGTCTTTAATCATCGAGGAAGATACAGGTAAAGAAAAAATGAGAGAAACTTTGTACAGAGTGATAAATAATATTATTCAAGGAGGGTACCGTTTAAACTACAAATGATATCACAGAGTATTATATACCAAATTAATACCCATTAAAAATGGGATTGACGAGTATAATTGATATTCTGTATGACGATTATTGGCTGTACAATTATGGAAGTTTCTATCGCATGCGTCATAATGATTAATTCGGGGTGTAGTGGTGCTTGCAGTAAAAGTCCCATAACTTCATTAAAGCAAAAGCTTTTTCGATCGGGTTTGGTTTGTTTTGATCATAAATGATTGCTTTTCTATTGCTAACTGCAAAATCAAAACTTTGATCATGTTTTCTATTCCTTGCTTTGGCACTTTGTTGAAAACGGGGAGAAGTTTTTGAAACTTCGTTCTCCAGTACCTCATCTGCTCTAAAATTCGTTTTTTTCAGACCATGAGAAAGAGCATATTCAAAAGTACAAAAAGAACTGAGTTTTCACTTTTGCTACACTTTTTAAGGAAATGACAGCAGAAGAAAAAAGATCAAGTCGAAAAAAATACCAAATGTACAAAGTTTTCAGTTTTTCCGCCTTCCGTATAATTTACGTAGTTTTCTTGATTGAAGTTCTAAAACTAAAGTTTAGGTATAGTTCTCTAGAGTATTTCGTGGCGCATCTTTTAAAAAAAACACTAACCGTGAGATCCTAAAGGAACACGAGAAAAACAGAAAATACTGAGAGGCTCATTCATTATGACGCAAGCGATAGAAACTTCCATAATTGTACAGCCAATAATCGTCATACGGAATGTCAATTATACTCGTCAATCCCATTTTTAATGGGTATTAATTTGGTATATAATACTCTGTTATATCATTTGTAGTTTAAACGGTATCCCCCTTGACTAACATTATTTACCACCCTGTAGTATCAGCTAATACAATTCATTTATTGATATTTAAATGAAACCAGTCTGTGTTGAGAAACATTTTTGTTAAACTTTTACTCGATGCTCTTGTATTCGAAATTAGAAAATGATCCCGATCTTGACATTATACCGTGTATAAGAGAACAAACAAGTCTATGGCTGTTGTATGATATTATTCCATTCACATGACATTATATACTCACTAATGTCGAAACTTCTCTCAAATTAACCCCGAAGATTCTAAAACAAGTAGCAATATCTGAAGTCACTGAATTCGTTCAAAAATGGAGAGCTCCGAAAAGAAGAAATTTAACAAAAATTGAAGAGAAAATGTTAAAAGAACTAAAAGCAATTGAAGATATTGTAATTGTTTCAGTTGACAAAGTAGGCCGAATAGTAATTCTCAACAAAGATGATTATATATCCAAAATGGAAGTAAAACTAGAAGATACGAAGATTTATACAGAGATAAAAGATCCGACTAACAACATCAAAACTGTGATCTCTGAATTTAGCCAAAAGTTATTTCAACAATAGTCAAGCACAACAAAGACATCTAATATCAATTGACAACCTTCCCATTGTACAGCCTAAATTACATAAGGTAGATCAACCTATGAGAAGTATAACATGCTCAAGAGACACCATTACTTCGCCTATTTCTCAATTAGCATTCTCTCTAATAAAAGAAATAAGAAAAACAATTAAGAGCAATATTATCAATACTAACAATTTCACTGAAACAATGTCGAAAGTAAAATTAGATCCGAGGGAAAAATTAGCTAGTTTGGACATCACAGATATGTTTAACAATATACCTATAACACGTGCCATTGATATTACAATTAATAGAATAGAAGAATCAAATGCATTTAACAATTCTACATTCACAAAATCTGATGTTAAGAAGATGATTCGGATAGCATTATGTAATAGTTATTTTCGATTCAACAACAGATATTATAAACAGAAATCCGGACTGCCTATGGGAAATTGTCTCTCTCCACTTCTTGCTGACTTATATATAGATGATTACATCAATAAACATTTAACAGAAGTCAATCAACCTGGGAAATTATGGAGATATGTAGATGACATTCTGATTTTGACAACAATGAATGAACCTGAATTAATTGGTTATGTTGAAAAATTGAATAAAATTAAAAGTAATATAAAATTTACGTCAGAATATGAGAAAGATAACAAGATCAATTTCTTAGATACGAGTTTAACAAGAAATAAAAATGACAATAGTATTGAAATAAGATGGTTTAGGAAAGAATCAGCTGCGGACAGACTTCTCAACTACAAT